CTTGGCGGTTGTGGCAGAGGCGAGCAACGAGTGCCTCTTGGAGGGCAAAAGGGCCAGGCCTCAAATGCACAAGCATCTGCCACCTGCGGTCCCAGGGCCAAGTGGGAGGTGCCCGCGGAAGGGACGGGGCAGAGTGGCCTGGTGGAGAACATGGCGGTCCTCACTGTGCAGTGCCCACCTCCTGTCACAAGAGGGCAGCACCCCCACCGCCCCTGCAGCCGGAGGCCCCCGGGGACACCGGGCAGGTGGGGTTGGGTCCCCCAAGCAGCCGACCTTCCCACGGTAGCTTGCCCCCAGACCCAAATATGTGTCCAGTGACCCAGTGGCTGGTGGCGGCAGGCCGTGTGTTCTTGAAAATAGGTGTGGTTGTCGTTTATTGAGCACTTATTGTCTGCTGGGCTGCTTGCCAGGCAAACATTTTTGCCCATGGTCCTGGCAGTCTCCGGGCCAGGTGAGGCCGGCAGAGGACAGGCGGGCGGACGGACAGACAGGCAGATGGAAGGTCTGGAGCTTCTGGGTCTCACCCGAGGTCACGGATGCAGAAGGCGAGCGGAGGCTGTGTCCTGTGCGGTCTGACCCCACAGCCCGCGGGGCCCCCAGGAACCTGACACGGACGTGTCCCAGGGCTGGATGGGGGCCAGATTCCAGCAGCATGAACCCTTGCCTTGTCTGGTCGCGGAGAGACGCCCGTGCCTTGTCCCTTGTCTTGCAACAGATGAGGCCGTGACAGGCTTGCGGGCTCACATCCCTACGCCCTGCCGTCGCTGACCGGGCCTCACATGTGGACGGGGTGAGTCACGCCTGCGACAGCCCGCAGGGGCCCCGGCGGCCGTGCACAGCTGTGAGCAGGTACCGCCTGAGGCTTCAGCCACAATCCCAATCCTTGTTCTGCGCCGGGAGGCTCAGGACCAAGCCCCCAAATCACCCTCGCCGCCCCTATCGCCTTCATTGAATAGTTAAATCGTAGGCACGGTGGTTTTGTCAAGGATTCTGGGGGAAAGGGGTGTGGGACAAACCTACTGTGGACACTTAACCAGGAGAGCAGTGCCACCAGGTCCCCAAGGGCTGCAGGTGGAGCTCATGGGGGCCTTCCTGGACTCTGCCCCTCCTCGAAACTGCCGGCAGGCCTCGACTCAGGCCTGGGCTGCCCAGGGCGAGGCCAAATTATTTTTCTTGCTGACCATCTCCTTCCTGCACCTGCCCCTTCAGACTGACACCTCTCCCTCGTCCCCAGACAGCAGACACCCTTTACCCTTGGGCTGTTCAGAGTCCCCGTCTTAGGAAGGCCTGCTGTCCCCAGCATGACCCTGGTCCCACCTCGGTGCTGTCCCCTGGTCAAAGTCCCGTCCGTGGAGGATCCGTGGCTGCCGGCACACGGACTCTGGGGTAGGTGGGGCCGGGTTGGGAACTGGACAGGGAGACGGCCTCTTCTGTCCGAGATGCAGCTCTGGATCTCAATGAGGAGACCGTCTAAGCCTGGAGCTCCGTCCATGCGAGCGCTGGCAGGGGTGTGATTGTACACGCGTGCGCGTCTGTGTGCATATGGGCACGCCCAGCCCTCGGAAGAAGTGTGGCACGGGTCCTCCTGCCCCAGCCATGGCCTCGGCTTTGGCCGCAGCCTCTGCAGCGCCCCAGCCCCTGCACACCCCCAGTGTCTGTGCCTCAGAAGCTCACGCATCCCAGATGCAGGGCAGCCCAGAGGAGGCGGCCGGGGGCCTATCCATGCCCCAGGCTCCCTCCCGTCCAGAGCTGAGCCCAGGCGGGTTCTACAGGGTTCCCTGGAGGACCTTGGCCCGTCATCTGGGGTGGTGACCAGCTCCATGACACGCCCCCCCACCTTTCCTCCTCCCCACCCCTCACTCCGTCCGGCCACCTGGGACCCCAAACGCACCACCCCCACCCACAGCCTTGTCTCGGGCTGGACCTCAAGGGAAACCAGACCAAGACGGGAAAGGTTGTTGCTGGAAGACTCTGAAAGTCAAGGGAGAGCACCCACCAGGGAAAGGCTGCAGCCACTTTCTCGGAGGTACTGTCCGAGGCTCCCTGCCCCCGTCACTCACAGGCAGGCGGAGGACAGGAAAGCCCGCGGAGGGCAGAGGGTGGCTCCAGGTGAGCCCTGGCGGGGCTGCAAGCCTGGGGGGCTGGGGGCGGCTCCCCAGGAGCGGGGTCTCCCTTGTGAATGGGCAGGGGGCACGTTTGACTTTCTCGACGGTTCTGAGTCAAGTCCTGCCATGGAGGCCGATTGCTCCAAGGTTATTCGGAGATGGCCTGGCCCCCTAAAGGTCTCGGGCCGGTTGCCGTCGTGGGCTGGGTCTCCCAGGCAGGTGGTGTTTTCATCCATGGCCTGGCATGCTCCGTCTTTCAGTGTGACGGGCAGGCTGCACCCAGCCGAGGGCCCTGGGCACAGTGCCTGGTCTGACGGAAGGCCCCGCCGGGCGGCTGCGGCTGTGCCTGCCCCGATGCTGTTGATGGCTCTTGACCCCAGACGTGGAGTGCCTGGCAGAATGGAGAGGGGAGGGGGGCGTGGTGCCTCGGGCCTGGGGCACCAGCCCGTCTAGAGGGTTGACGCTGCAGCGGGCGGCCACAAACCCCGTGGCTTTAACGACACAGATGCATCATCTCACGGCTCTGGAGGTCGGAGCCCGACGTGGGTGTCACTGGGCTGAAGCTGAGGTGTCACAGGGCCGGTTCTTTCTGGAGAAGCCAGGGGAGAAGCCTTGCTCTGCCTTCCCAGCGTCCAGAGGCACCAGGGCCTCTTGGCTTGTGGTCCCGCCTCCATGGTCAAAACCAGCGGGGTGGCGTCCCTCTGACCTTCTTCCGAGTCACGAGTCACGTCTCTCTGGCTGCCGCCCAGAAAGGTTCTGCATTGAAGGACCCTGTGACTGCATGGGCCCAGCTAGATCATCCAGACTCTTCTCCGTTTCTCAAAGGCCTGGACTTTAGCACACCTGCCAGGTCCTGTTCGCCCCGCCGGGAAACGCATGCACCGGTTTCAGGCACGAGAGCATCTCAGCGCCACTGTTCTGTCCACGGCAGCCCCGAGTCCCAGAATGTCCCGCCACCCCGCCGGCACTTACTGAGCACCTGCCCCTCCCCCTGCCCCCGCGAGGCGGGGCTCTACCTGACAGGCTTCCACGCCCCACCTCTGCATCTCCATCTGACCATCTAACCTCGTGTTTCAAAGCTCAGTGACTCTGTAGGATAGAGCTTCCCTGATGCCGGCTCGGCCACCAGGTCGTCACTGTGGCTCACCCGACTGTCCCGCCACCCACTGGGAACCCCTCAAGGGGCAGACCCGAGACTCCTGTGCTGTGGTCCCGGGTCCTGGGCGCTGACCTCCGTAGGGGCTTTAGGGGTGGGGATGGGGCATGGGGAGTGTGTGGCCCTGCCCAGTCCCCAGAAGCCTTACAGTCATCACCTCACACCCTGCGGTCATCCATCCTGACCTGTCCATCTGTCTTGACCCATCCATCCGTCCGGTGCCTCCTTAAACATCCTAGGCCACGGCCGGCTTTGAGCAGACAGCCACAATATCCGCATGGATGTCCCGGGACCCAGAGGGAACTTGCAGCCAGCTTCTGTGAGGACCATGGCTGTGCCATTTGCGGAAGAGAGAACGCTGGCCCCTGCCGCTGAAGGGCTGTTGAACTCACCGGGGGTCTCGCCTTGCCCTGAGACCTCAGAGGGCAGAGGTCACGCAGGGTTGAGGCGGCGGGGGTGGGTCACCCTTCTGGATAGGCAGCAATGGCTTTGTTTCCTCAGGTGTGCGCACAGATCGGGGGCAGGCCTCTCACCAGGAGCCCACACTGGGGGTTGACCAGATGACCGTTTCCCGCAGGCCCTTACCTGCCTGTCATCTGAATCCTGCTGGTCCCTGGCGAAAGGAGGCGGGCACCCACCCTGATGTCCCATGGGGCTTGCTGGGAGACCAGGCCCTGTGCCCTCCGTCCTCATGCCCTGGTGCCCGGTGCCCACACCCTCTAACACGGCTCCTTTTCCCAACAGTGTCGCAGCCCCAGGCCGCCCCCGGCCCCTTGGAGAAGCCGCCCGGCACGGCCATTCTGTGCAACACGTGTGGGAACGTGTGCAGGGGTGAGGTGCTGCGGGTGCAGGACAAGTACTTCCACATCAAATGCTTCATCTGCAAGGGTGAGTGTCTCCTGGCCCCTCGGGGGCGGCCCTGCCCGTGGCCCAGACGCTCCAGGCGGCCTGGGGCTGCAGCTGGCTCCCCAGTGCAGAGTCCTCACACAACAGGCGTGATCTTCTCAGCGTAGCCCGTGTCCCTCATGCGCGTGATGGAGGAATATGGGGAGTGGGCGGGTCAGAGGACCGTGGTCCAGGTCCCTGGGGTGTCCTGGCCTGGCTGCGCCCAGCAACAGGGAATGCCCATCCTGTGGCCGGAGCAAAGTGGCTGCCCGGGCCCTGTAGCCAAGAAGGCCAATGGTTGTGGGCCGGCCCTGACCCCAGCAGGGCGGGCGCGTGGGACCTTCTTGGGGGTGCTGAGGACGTGGCCACCACTCCAGATGAAAACTGCTGTAACTTTTCTCTGATTGTAAAATATCATGTAAATAAGAGACCAAATTCAAATAGTGCTGAAAAGATGAGACAAAGGAAAACAGAAGCGTCACGTGTGAGAGCTGTCTCCAAAACAGAGGCTCCGTCAGTCATTCCTTCCAACAGAGTACGTTCCACTAGACGTGAAGGAGACCAAATATATCCACATTTAAGGTTCTGCAAATATGTGGAGCCCAGCACTGGGAAGAGGCTTGTGCCAATCAAACCAGTGCAATGGATCTAAATTCGTAGCACCGGGCCCGGCGTCGAGGCTCACGCCTGTAATCCCAATAGCTTGGGAGGCCAAGGCGGGAGAATCGCTGAACCCAAGACCCTCTCTCTAAAAAATAAATTGCCGGGCGCGGTGGCTCAGCCTGTCATCCCAGCACTTTGGGAGGCTGAGGTGAGTGGATGGCCTGAGCCCGCGGGTC